TCATCCGACTGATGATCATTTACCAAATAAGGTAAGATCATCGATGACCAAATTTGGTATATTCCCAGACTGAATTTGAATGGATTATTTTAAATACTTGGATTATGCATAAAGGTAATTGTTAAAAAAAGAAATTCCGATATTTCATACTGAGGACATCCGTATCCCGCGTCCGGGAACCAACAATCCTGCGTCCAGGAAAGTTGCGGATCTACAACTCACCTAGGATCTACGTTTTGATCAGAAACTTAAATTTAATATTCGTGTTACATAGAATAATTATCCATTTAGAAATTGTAATCTCGCGACCACAGTGTAATTTATCGATTTGATTAAATCGAATAAATTACTCGCTGTATATTAAATACATATATTCCGAATTCTTCAGCATTTACATTATATTTCCTCGAAATTTTCTGATATTTCTTATATTTATAAGCTCTCAACTCGATTTTACCGTTACTAGTTAACGTCAAATCAATTAGTATTTGTAGTCGACCTTATTTGTCAGCTCGACTAAGCTGAAAGTTAAAATTAGATACAAAGTCGGTATATAGGATAAATAATTTATATCCGAATTTTCTTGCCAATCCACTATACTATCCACTATTATATCGATATAGTTGGTTTTCCTGAACATAACCAAGTCAAATTTTTATTAAAAAAAAAATCGTCGGTTAAGTCGATTTTATCGGCTAATGCAAAATTGACTATATACGTACGTACGTATAATCACTAGTCAAATTTTTTTCGACCCCCTATTAGGAATAGTATGTGAATACGTAGATTTTTTTCTATCCTATCGCTATTAGAAACAGTGCTAATAATCTATTTAATAAAGTTTTTTTATATAAAAATTTTTATATCTTTTTTTTTTTTTTTTGATAAATTGTATAATGTACGGTATGAGTATCCTATTAATCGAAGAGGATTGCAATAAAGATAAAAATTACTTATCTGCGATTGATCCAACGTTAAAAAATATTACGATATTATTGAAACCACAAAAAAAAGAGATAAGAAGTCAAAAAAAAACATGTTATAAAACAGATTCATGTTTCGGTAAAGAAATTAGGTGAATAAGGCAGAGGCTAAATAATGAAGATTCTAGAATTGATAGGTTGGTGAAAGAATTAGAAAAGTTACAGTTTCGGGAAGAAGTTTTCTTCGATAATAATTCTGACGTGTCCTAATTATGGTATAAAAATTTGATTCAAAAAATAGTAACTATATATTATATAGAGAATATTCTGCTTTGTAGATATGATTAGGTCTCGAAATGATAAACAAGACATCAGGTAAAATCCAACCAAGTACTTACAATTAATTAACTAAACCAAATAAATATGAAGTTAGAAATATCTGAAAAGATATATTATTTTGAATTACGAAAATATTTAAAGATAAATTATTCTAAAATTTTTTGTAAATTTAGTCATTGAAGTGTTTTCATTTCGTGAGTCTGCAATAATTAACAATTAGATTTATTTTTCTTGTCTAACCCAGTGATATTAATAGTATATCATAAATACGTCAAGTCAAATTTTCGTAGTGTAATGGCAACTATAGATCTGTTTCTTTTGGGTGATCAGTCAAATCGAAAATGAAGTTAATGTAGAACTATGTAAAGTACATGACGTGGTATTATAGAACTAGGGATGTTAATCGGTCCCGCAGTAGTTATCAGCCGACTTTGAGCAAGAATTGGCATTTTTAACTACTGTTTGTCCAATAACAAGTACTAAAAGAATTGGCATTTTTAACTACTGTTTGTCCAATAACAAGTACTTATAGGAAAGTTATTTTTCTATAACATTGTCTAATAGAAGTTTATTGGTTTTTTGCATTAAATTTAGAGTAATTTGGATGGGACCGATTAGTGAGCAAATTTAGCTGATCGGTCCTTAATTGGTCCCATCTAAATAGATCAAAAACAAATGCAGAAATAAATAATTTTTCTATAGCTTTGCTTACTAAACGAATAGTAGTTAAAAATGCAAAATCTTGCTCAAAGTTAAGCCAACACGTAATCAAAGAATTAAACCTATAATTAATTCGTGCCCACCACCGACGCTTTTAATTTTTAGAATTATGTAATTATTTCTTGACAATCAGATAAAATATTGATAGGTGACTTATGAATTGCGATAATGTCATAAATAAATTCACACGCGTTTAACCCCACTACCCGACCACAGAATTTGTAATCATCATTGTTCCGGTTACTGAAACCACCTTTCCAGCAAATTCAAAACCAGGAGTCGGTTCAGTAGCAGCATCACCCAAAAACGGCATGTCCTTCTCGTTCTCCATATCTTAGCCATTTGCCCGCGGGAAATACTATTACTGCAATTCAATGGTACAAAATAAAATGGAATAGATATTTTGTATTAGGATGTGGAGCGAACACAGATTTTAATGATATACTTGAAGTTGTAAAACTTATAATCAACATTTCAAATATTAACTTAGATATTGTTTATTATATACTTTATTATTATGCACAAAAATTTATGATCTGCGTTAGTGGTATTGGTACGTATCGGAAGATGACTTGCTATAAGGATTTGCTATGTGACGAAATGAAAAACTCAAATTCGCATCGGTGGAAGTGTATATCACACATTATGTGGTCACAGATCTGATATGAGAAAACTTTTATTACACATGTATAAATAAATAAAAGTGAAAATCATGTGCAGTAGGTAGATACTATGTGTCGGTTATGCTTCGAATTTTTCTATGATAACGTCCCAGCTCAACTTGGAGATTCGTATTTGCTAAATATAATTTTACCCTTTCTATTTCATCACCAATTGCAGAAAATAAGTCATAAATTTTTCTTGCTCTTTCTATTTTTTCTATTGCATTTTTCAACAAATCAGATGGTAATTCACGTCAATATTAAATTATTATGCTTTGTTATTGAGGGATCTTAAAACAACTTTATTAAAATGGGTGTTAGTAATAATAATATCCTGATCCGTTGGGAATTAGCGGAAACGAAGTTTCCGCTTATTCACATACGGTCAGGGTATTATTAATTAATCCTCCCGTGATCTTGATATAGTGATCGGGGGATTATATATATACTATCACAGGTAAAATAATATCTAATCAGGGATGGTAAATTACCTGGTCATTTCATCAAAATTTAAATGACCCAAGTCATCAAATAATGACCAGGTCATTTGGGTCATTTGCAAATAAGGTTGAATTGATCATATCAAAAGTTATCGAACTTTATTACGATAATCGTAGCTATATATTAAAATCAAAATTTTACTAAGTCAATTAATATATATTTATGTCTTAAGTAAAGTTATTCAGGGAATTAAAATTTGGATATATTATCCAGGATAACTTCACTTAAGACATAAATATTAATTAGCAAAATTTTGACTTTAATACTGTATATAGCTAATTATATTTTTATAAAATTTAATTTGATTTAGTGGTCAATTCTGATTGGTTAAAAGGGTATTATAATATAAACTAACATATGGGACCCCCCACAGCAAAAGGGTGCAATGAAGCAACCAATCAGATTTTGAGATTTTATAATAACTAATTGCTTATAGGTCTTGTCTTACAATATGTATATTTTTTTTACTAAATATATTAATAAATAATGTATAAATCGAATGTTTTTTCTTTGTGATTGTTATAGTAAAATTCAAAGAAAATCAATTTACTATTGCATACCGCATATAATTGCTTTGATCTACAATTTTACTTATTTTCTAATGCCCGCAGTTGCAAATAATTCAATATAGGATAGTGCATACATGTAAATAACTCAGATAATGTAGGATAGTGCGAGCGTACGTACGTATGTATGTATGCG